GATTTGAGATATCTCACTATAAGTCAATAAGGTGACACATGTAAAGACGATATGAAATGTTGCTTGCAGCGGTCATCGGTGCCTAATCGAATGTTTTCTTCAAAGAAAATCAAAGAATGAATCATTGAGGTATATATACTAACTCTATACAAATTCTGTGACTTGGGGCATAGTTCGCACAACCGACAACATGTACATGTATGAGCAGAATCATGAGATCGAGTGTATTTATCCTCATAGCACAAATCGTTAAGAATGTCGGCTTTAATGTATAGCGGATTATGGCATTATTACTAGTTTGTTGTTGTCAAAACGCAGGTAGGGCGTAAGCACTTGGGGTGTATGTAGCGGAATTAGTAAGTACAATTGTACGTCCACAGTTGTACATCAACTTGCACATTTTTATACTGAACGAAAGTCATTACAATTGTCGAAATACCGAAGTATTGTTATTCGAGATAATCTCTGAGAATACAAATTTTCACCATCTTTCACAAGATAAAAGGCTGTGCTGTAGTGTCCGGGCATCAAAGTGGAAATGCACTTTACGCTGTCGGATCGGCGTATATTACCTACTTTCGAACAGGTTATGAGCCCAACAACGCGCATCAACTCGGTCGTAGTCGACGCACAACCATCATCAACCAAACTGAGCGAGATCGACAGAACTCTGCCCATTGAATGGATTCGCATCCATCTGCATTCGTCTATTAGAACCTGCACATCGCTGGCACCGCTGACGTCAGTATTCTCGTAGCCCCCTTGAGGTCGGAAATTATATTTCGCTACTTGAGAATGACATAGACTAGGTTTATCATAATTTTAGGTATAAAATTGACCCAATTCCTTCATGTGTAATTTATCCTGTACTATTTTGAACAGTAATATTGTCTATGTGCTGGCAAGTTGAGACTCTGCGACTGTCATCGTGAAGATGTTACCAGCTTCACATACACGTGATTTCTTCATTTCATTCTTGAGGCTGTTGTCTTCTAAATAAGTGATAACATGAATCATGCACTTGCAGCCTCTTCGAGATCGTAGTGTCTTATACAGCTGCAATATTTTTCAGCGCTTGCAACACCATCAGCTCTTCCATGAGTTATTTTACTTCGCTGGTATAAAGTCGCTTTTACGACACGATATAAGATCGTCCACGTTAACAACAGTAAGCAGGTTTTACGCTAAACCTCTTTGTAATGCCGCATGCGAAGATGACTACTTTGAACCCCACCTCCGGATCGTTACGCTTCTTCTGTCATATATTTTTTTTTTATATAATCCTGTATTTCAGTTGAGCGTATTGCAAAGGTTTGTTGTCTGCTTATCATTTGCTGAATCGTGGTCAGAATACCGTTTGCCATTTTCACTAGTCGCGCTAGTCAGAACGACTCAAGTACAATCATCTAAACTCA